CATTTCTGAGACCCCCCCTCCCTAGTGTGACGTCACATGTTTTGCAATTTCACATAGAAAAATTATTAAATAAACAGCAGTTCCGAAATAGTTTTATTTCCATTTAAATTAAGTACTTTTTTTTATGAAATCAATATTATATCAAATATTTGAAACAATTGAAATGTGATGTCACGAAACTTAGGACCCCTCCCACCCCTTGTCACACCATGTCACACTTTGTCGACCCCCTCCCCCCCTCTTTACGTGTGACGTACTTTATGGATGACCCCCACTAACCAAATTGCGGTCACAAAAAATACTTATTATGCAAGCGTTCGTTACCTATCAATCGAATCAATCGATCCATTTTTTATTCCTAAAAGTTATTTTAAGTTAATTAGCCGCAGGGCCCATTAAATCTCTGCAATAACATTTTTACCCCAAATAAAATATTAATAGCTTTAACACTTCCTCTAACAATGACAGGCTCTGTGAAAAAAATACCAGTAGGTAGTTTTTAAAATAATTTTCGTCAGATGGGTTCCTTAGTCTTTTAGGGGGCGTCCATTAATTACGTGAGACAATTTTGGCGATTTTTCAACCCTCCCGCCCCCCTTGGTGAGATTTGGTGAGATTTTTCCAGACCCCCTACCCCTCCCTACAATCTCACGTGAGATTTCTTAAAATACATAAAATATTTGCAATGTAAATGGGTTATCTATGCTTCGATTAGAATTTTATATAAAAAACCGTTTCTTCTTATTTCTTTATTGTTTAAACGGTTTAAAATAAAAAATTGCATAATTTATCATTATTATCTTAAAATCATCATCAACAGCCCTTTACAGTCCACTGCTGGACTATGAGCCTCCTCCACTATAGTGGAGGGTTTTGTCATAATCTCCACGCTTGGCAGGCGGGTTGGAGATCGCAGTTTAAAAGATTGATGTTTTTCAGAGAGCGCTGCTGCCCATTCTCTGTTTGATGTGTAGTCCCTAAGTCGCCTCTTACGACACCCGCGGGAAGAGTAGGGGTTGGTGACAAATGTATTCTACTCTGCCGTCACCACACGGCTAATCGCTATCTTAAAATATTTTTTTTTAATTTAAAATAACCCAGTTTTTTCTTGCTGAAATAATTACGTGATATTTGTCGAGACCCCCCCTCTCCCCAACGTGAGATTTAGTGAGGTTTTTCTTGACCCCCTCCCCCCCCTAAACGTCTCACGTAATTTATGGACGCCCCCTTATTTAACTTCCTATAATTTCATATGGCAATATTTGATAGAGCTGATGTAATGTTAAGTAAATGATGGTGTTAGAACTTAGAATAACTTGGCTTCTAAAGGAAGGTTTAAAGGGTAGTTAACCTACCTATAGCAAATATTAAAATTGACTAGTTACATACGTTGATCCAATTTATGGCTCTAATAAATTAAAAAAAGTTCAGTCGAACGTACATTATATTACAGTTACGTATCGCTTTAATACCACATGGCGCATTGAATTAGTTCAGAATTATTATCTAACATAGTTGAAATAAAACCAATTTGTATTCGCTGGGTGCGAAGTACTAGGTGGGGGTAACATAATCTATCGCAGCGCTCATGGTGGTCAAAAGTAGAAATAATGTAAGCTCTGTCATCAGATGTATCTGTCAATGGCAAAGCGATTCTACATAATACATTTAAATATCATTAATTAATCGCATGAAAAGGGTCCTACTGGGAACTTAAATAAAAGAGTGGACTGTATTTCGATAGGGCTGGTTTAATAGCCGTTTACAATTTGGAAATAACTAGACTATACAACGTGGTAGTACAAAAATGAGTCACAGTAGTTGTTGTGCACAGATGTTTGCCTTATGATGAGAGCGTGAATTATTGAACTCTGCCCTTGTTTTGTTCTTAATTCTTCTACATCTCGGACTTGTCCAGCCAATACCAACAACTTTCCTTTAAATACGGTTTGTGGTTGGAATTTCATATTGTAACACTCACAAACACGGTCTTCAAAACAATACTCATTTCGATCTGAAAACGAATTTAATTTATTACTAGCGATACAGGAACATTTAAATATATTTACTGTTATGTAATGAAACGGTTAAAGTAGCTTTTTCTTTTTGTTTTAATGTAAAACTACAACTATAAATGAAGTAAACAAACCCTGACACAATCAAAATTAAACACAATATTTGGACTTACCTCATTTGATTTGGACGACGAAAATGATTTCAAAACCTTTTTTCCACCCAAATCGTGGTATCACAACAATTTATTAGTCGAAAATATTTGTTATTTTTTCATTTCGATATTTTTTCACAATTTGGGTATGGAGAGAGGAACGCACGTGGCCAACTGCTGGCTGGCTTTATGGAGAGGGAGGGCCTCTTTATGATGAACTCCTTCTTCAGGAAGCCAAAACAGCGAAAGTGGACATGGCTGCATCCCAATGGCGCTATAAAAAATGAGAGTTTAAATAAGATTAGAAAAATACTTTAAAAAATTTTGAATTTTCAGTTTTCCTGAAAGTATGCCCTCACGATAGTGAGGCTTCGGTATAATTTGTTAGTCTCACGATAGTGAGTGTTATACTATTTAGTTAATTTATTTAATGAAAACTACTAATTTATGAGCACATAAGTATTCATTTGGTAAGAGACCCCTATAAGTAAAGAGTAAGCTATAATTTAACAAGCAATTAAACCTCTTTTAGCAAATTGTCTTACAAAAAACGAATTAATTAAAAAATATCCACCTTTTGACAAACTTGCAAAGTAAAAACCTTTATTAGTTTCCAGGTCCAAAATTTAAACTAGAACTTTCAAACCCTATTATCTTGTAATAAAGGTTTGGTGGCATTCCATTCGTTAGTCCAGAATATCTACACCACTCATATCGTTCAACGATTGAATAATAAGATGGACCTCTTTGCAGGTATATTGATCCTTTATTTATCATGGGTTGCACCTTCCAAAGCGGTTGTCTTGTACTGTTTCTGCTAGTTGGTCATGTTAAAATACATAAAGGGAATGTCGTGTGTGTACAAATCGGTTATGAACTATTTTGTTAGCAATAAGCCCCTATTTTTTTATACTAGTGTGTCAGTACATATGCAAACATGGGTCCGGAAGGCATCTCATGAAAATAATTGTGCACCGAACACTATAGCAATTTCGGTTCTAATAGTTATTAATTCTTTATCGATTTAACGCATGTAGTGCAAGTTTGTACACTTAGCCATCTCTTTGTAAAATGTGTCATCAAAATAATCAATTGAGATACTCAGTTGAAGTACGAATTCAATTTGTTTGAATTTTCTTCCAAATTGACCCTGTATTTTGTAGCGGACGTGGCTTTTGTTTCAGCTTTTGCTTGCCACATAGTATTTTTAAAATTTCTGACCAGCCTTGTTGATTCATTTTCAGGGTCTACTTCGTCTCCTGAGCTTTCATATTTGGTATTCTACTCTTCAAAGACCGTAAAAACCCGAAATTGTGTTTCCTGGTCTTTTTAGTCATGAAAATCTTTAATTTCATAGTCAGTTGCGTTTCCAATAATGCTACGACACATCCTTCATATTTAGGATGCACTAAAATAGAAAAACAACTAAACACTAATCCATAATATCAAATAACAAATAAAATAGTTTTCAATCAACTACTGGAGGTTTGACCGACCAGCTACGATCATGCGACTTAATTTTGTGGTAATAATTATTATTAATTTATGCAATGAAATAACAATAAAAGTATTCCATTCGGACAATCACTGTTTTCGTAATAAAATAAAACTATAACACTTATCTGAAAACAACAATAACCACATAAAATAAATGTTTACACTGGCCGCCTCTCGTTCCAAAAAATGCAGTCAACTTTAAGTCCGAGTAAACGAGCACTGACAGGTCCCAACACTAAATGAGCGGCACTGTGTGCGAGTAAATATCTCTCACGAGCGATCGCTGCCGATTGCGGCCGCAAAAACAAGTTAACATGGGCATGAGATTTTTTCAAAGTTACTCTCACGTACGTGTACCGTCGTGTGTAAAGGGATACGTGGCATGATTGATGATACAGAAAATTCAATGAATTCATTGACTAAGCGATAGTCAAATGTTTTACGCACTTCTAGCTTCTTGTTGAAATACATTTCTAATTTTATTCTTTTTTTTCAGACTGCCTGCAGAACACCACCGGAATGCCGTGCCTCAGCACGGGAGAGGAGGTCCTCTCTCGATACGATTTCAACAGCGGAGACCTTTGGGACGATGTTCTAGCACTTTTCGTGCTATACCTAGCCTTCCACCTACTGGCACTCATAGCTCTCCGCCATAGGACAAGGCGAAAATAATATAGCGATATTGAACTATTTACTTGTGGTGTCTATACTAATATATTGTGTGATGTAAATAAGGTCAATAAATCTATGTAAAAGATGTTATTGAATTTTGCGTCTATTCATTTATGAATAAGTGAACGAACGATTCAGTTGTTTTTGTANTTCTATCAAAAGTTTTCTTTTACTCTTTAAATCAATCCATTTACAATAATTCAGTAAATAAAGTATCTTTCCCCCCTGTCTGTCCCCCCCTCTAAAAACGAAATCAAAATTCCTTTCTATGACAAACAAAAGTTGACTGGTAGAGAATGCCACATGGTCTGAAATATTATTTTTAACGATCTTAAATGTACAATAATGTAATTGAGATTTTAATCCCACCTATAAAATTTAAAAACAAAATTACAACTTAGATAATTGAAGCACAAATATTTTATTTTGATGTTCACGAAGACTACGCTGCCGCGCTATCCCATTTCAAAATATTTATTGGAATAAAAGCAGGTAAAGGCCATCTATTGTCTAAATTGAAAAACATTACATAAAAACCAACTGCAAGAGCGAAAAGCATCAATATTCAAGTGGTCCGCTACTTTTTCCATAGATGGCGCCACTACTGCTTATGTTTTGTACCTGGGTCGGCGTGCTCGGCCGGCGCAAGCGTAGTTCAAATTCATCCGCCATATTCGTAGTGTCAGACGGAGTGCAGTGCACGGCTGTGACATGTTTTATCGTAAACTGCATAAAACTTATGACAACGACTGCACACTGGTGCTTGTTTAAATTAGAAAATATCATAAATATGATATCTGATGTAGTCTCGAACGAATCGCGCACTCAAACGAATGAAAAACGTGAAACAAACTGTGTATTTGTGTGTTTATGATAACAGCATTAACAGTAATCCGGTCGTGTTTTGTTTTTTTTCTGAATTCCCATGCAATTGGTGATGTGAAGCTTGGTGTTATTATGCAACGTCGCATAACAGTGACCTTCGCGTATCGTGACCGTGCTTAAAGGTGCTTTTTGAGGTTAAAATGCAGCTTGGATTACGAGTATGAGCGATTGCGCCGAGCCATCAGGTTAGTAAGACATTCACTCTATCTCCGCTGATAGTAACAAGAATTTATTTATCTTGTGCCCTACATTCGTCTTATACTGAATATTTACTTATCGTATCGAATTTATGTACTTGCAGTACATTCGCAAGATAGTAAGACGAGTCGGCTTCATTCAAGAAACCAAAAGAAATGCATTGAACTTTCAAGATCAAGACTTGCAAGTTTAAAGGAAGCTACATGAATTTTCTTTAATAAATGCTCGTTAAATAGACTCAAAATTCATTTAAAATTAGATTAAAGGTGGTTAAAGTGGTATTTATAAGCTTGAATATCGTATAGCAACAGGATGAATGCACGGGTTAGTCCGTTTGGCGGTTAGCGGCCCGCGCAAGCCGGCAGGCGGGCCGCGGAGCGCTGGGAATGCAACCTCCCTGCAGGAATTACAAAGGGAGCACACTAAAACAAGGACGCATTTCGGTCGTCCTCTAAAAACATTTCATTGAACCTGCACGACGTGGCTAAAACATTCAACGTAGGATGAATGCGAACTTATGTCATCGGAAATTTTGCTGATTAGAATACGTCATGATACCTACCTATCTTATTGAACAATAGCTTGGTAATATGAAGCACTTTGTTTTGTAATTGTTACAACCTTTGATACCCTACCTACCTACCTAATGGCCATTAACGTTGTCTATCTTTGTTTCTAATTACTAGCCTATTTTTAGCTCTGTTGGGCCGTTATTAAATAGGTAAACGAAAGAGACCTAATTTACTATCATCGTTATGATTGGATTCCACTCAGCAAGAGCCACATTAGGTAGGATATCTATTATCATGTAAATATTAACCCTTGAGCTAGTTATTGCGATCTAAGCCTATGCTAATGGGTTAGGAGTTAGGACTAACAATAACTCAGATGACTTGTATTCTGAAAGTTGTTGCCTGTTGTAACCACTTACTTAGGTAAGCATGAAACTGTATAAAAAGGTATTTTCTTGAACTAATTGAGTAATGTTCATTCAGTTGACAACTAAAGGTTAAATCTAGCATGTTAACTAGTAGGCTTAACTAAGTTAGGAAATATTTTCAACAATGTGTACGAGGATAATGTTGTAGTTGTAAAGAACAAACACAAACACTCCCATTATTGTCAATGATTTATTTAATCTACAGAAACCAGTTCTCTAATAAGACTCAAGTACCTAACTAACAGTCAAGAGTTGATTTATCAAACATGACAAATCCAATAAAATGCCAACAGAGCGGCGCCAGAGCCAGGGCTCATTACGTTGATAACTTCAATCATAGGACTTATCTAGTCCCAGACTAGTTAGGCCTGTCCTGCTATATTATTCAGCGTTAGTTTTCCGTACTTAGTACTTGTATTATGGACGCTAAAATCTCTGCCCCCACTTACGTTATCATCATGATAAAGCCACTTTAGATTGCGGCTGTGGGCGTTCGGTATCCAGTTTTCTGATGTCACCCTTAATAAAATAATTCCAGTGCGAATTTCGATCTGCATTTTGCCAAAACTATACATACGGGGGATCTATAGAGCTGAATAGCTATTGAAATAGTCTTGAGGCGCAAATTAATTGGGTTGAATTGGAATTGATTTGATTGGGAACAAATATGATTTTGATCAGTGGGGAAGCCAAATACCGTCTACCTGTACAGTTTATTTGCATACACGATCCCAAACAAAGTGAAGGGCTTTTGATGGAATGCACTTACAGTTGTGTAGTGCGACAATCAAAACATTCCAATAAGTTCTACTGTCCCCAAAGCAAAATTTTTCACAGATATTGCGGTGGCGGCGGTCCTTTAGCCACTGTGGAAGCGGTCTGTGTAGTTTTGCTTAATTGGACTCCAATTCTAAAACAAGATTGAGATCTGCATGGACGATATCGACCTAATTGCCGGAGTCACGCCATCATAGGTAGCAGCAAATGACGCTAAAGGTCGTTTGCTGGCCTACCGTTTTAGATAACGCTTGCGTGCTGTGCGACTCGTCGAGGCGAACTTCTCGACTAAAACTAGTGAGTCCTACAAAGATTGCTACACGACGGATTTGCAGATAAGGCCCTGGTTCCTTTAGCTATCTCGCATTCGCACCTACTTTGGCTTAGGCAATCATGAACCTTTCGATAAACATGGTTGTTGAGGGGAAAACTGCTTGCTGCATCGCGTTTATGGCTGACAATCTTTCAAGGTCTGATTACAATCAAAATTAATTTAATTGTTCCATTTTCATATGCAAATAGGCTCTGCTTATTCAGACATTGATTAAATCTAACCTTTTTGTGCATACTGCATAGAGCTGATTATCTCGGGGAAATTGTGATTATCATTACGGACACTACCTACCTTGTTATCCACAGCGTCATTAATGTTGTAAATCTCACACGCCCTTTTGACCCCCATTCTGCCATCAAATAAATTTCGACATTCTGTCTTGTTAGCGCTTCTCGGTCTGTACGTGCGTAGCTTTATTTCAATAACGATTTTGAATTTCATATCTAGACAACTACAGATTTACGTTCTTAGTTATCAGTAATTCTGTTATCAGTACGTCATAAAATAGAATGTCTATAGTTCTCGACTTCGTAAGTTGGTGTCCTACTAGTCCCTCTACCTATCCAAAAGCCAAAGTCATTGATTTTTTAATTTATTTTAACTCGGTGCAGCGGGATTGGAGCAAGCATGTACCAGTTAATGAGGGTACCTGTCCAAAGCCCGCATACATGCCTCGCGCTGTGACCAGCAGGATGTGATTAATTAAATTGCAGCCTAGATTTCCGTTTTAACCTGCCCGACTGGGATTTAAAACCGTGATGTAGAAATAACTGCGACTGCATTAATTGAATACGAATCATTACGCTGAGTAATACCTGTACGTACATACTCTGATTAATTCATCTATTAGGTCCAAATTATTATGCAAATGTCCTAATTGCTACACATTTATAAATGCTTCCTGCAGGATGAAATCGAATAAATTATTTTAAATATTAATTGCCACTTGTATTGGTTATTGTCAGGATAGGCCAGGACAAAGAAAAAAGTCAAACGCTTATAAAACTTTTAAGAATTAAACCCACACGTGGGTAATGCCGCAGGCAGAAGCTATAATTTTATTGAATCACATCAGAAAAAGAACTCTTGACTTGATTAATAGCAAAACTAACACAAGTTGTATGGTATTTTGAAGTTAAAATCAATTTAATTTAGCTTATTGACTTATCTTTAGTTAGAAGACCAGTATCTCGTTGAGTTCTACTTGCGAAATAAGTCATACGTGGTTCCGCATAAAATGAATCACTGTTAGTAGCAGATTGATCACGAACTTGGTTGATTAAGGGGCGTTTCTACAATCTTCCGGCTTGGTATTAAATACGTGCCTAACAGAGACGTGCAATTGACTCACACCTTTTCATTGTAACACTGTGAAAAGCACCCTTCTACAACAGAATTGAAATTTTGTCTTACTCTTATAACGCCTTGTGAGGTGTGTACGTTACTTCACGAACTCCACTTACATTCCGAAAGGTAGAAAAGAAAGTCTTGATCATGATTCTCTTTTTTAACAACACTTGGTATTATAATGCGGATAATTTCCCCGATCTCTTGCAGCTCGTTCGGAACCAATTACTATAGTATTGGTCACATTAACAACAGACAAGTGAAAGCTCGTAATTATGTACATGATGGCAATAATGAGGATAGTTGGCGTATGTTCAATAATGTTGATATTTTGTTACCTGGGTTTGATGGATCTGTTTTAAATTACTATCACCATATCTGTATCTTAAGAAAGATCCAGTGTCATAGTGATAACCTGCGTGCATTCACAAATGTGACACCGTTAGCCTTTCGCAAAGGAGCGGGCGATAATGTAGCCGTTGCTGTCGTAATGAAAAACTACGTGAGAACAAACGGAGTGTCGAAGTATTTACTACCAGATTTGGCATGACGCGATGAAATGTGGAACTGGTTTGATGCTCGTTAAGACGCGCCGTAGAGTCTCACGTATCAGAACAAAAAGCGAGCCGGGAACAGGGCCGACCCGTTTTGGACAATACCTGGGCTGACACTTGAATGCCGATGCGCTGAAGCTGCGACATCTCGGCTGCCCGCTGCATTGCTCAACCCATGTGGAAATCTACGCTCTGATATCTTGATTCCTCAAAATAGCGTTAACAATAAACAATGGGCTACAGAATTCCGTATTTGAATAATGCACGCTTATGGCATGCAGTTTGTAGGTCTTATTTCAAAATGAGTAACATGTTATTTTGCATTTGTAACCGTCAGAGAATTCGGGATAATTGGAGACGGCAAAACAAGATTGATTACGTAATCTATTATTTAGGAAGGTCGTTGAAACATTGTGGAATAGATAAAACAGTTAATGGTTTTAAAATTGGTTAGAACATTTGATAATAGATCCGTAGTTTAGACTCGCGCTAGCTATAAAGTTGTAGTTAAGGAAATTATTGTTAAGGTGTGTTATAAACCCGTCTGGCTGAATTGCACACTTCCCGGTGCAGTAGGAGGTTAAATTTTAGCACTAGCTCCCTTTGTGCGTTGCTCGGGTCACCGACCCTTAATTGCCCTACTGCGCTCAGCCCGGTGCAATGCTCCAGTAAAATTCAGCATAACAAGCCTTTATTAGGCTCTGACTGTGCTTCCTTGAATCTTAATAGATTTATGGAACAAGCAACAGTGTTAATAACTCTAAAGGAACATTGTTATTTACCTAAGATAAACAATTTACTTTTCGTTTTACTTTTTAAAGGGTTAGCGTCAATGAAATAAAAAATGGATTTAAACTAGGTACTTTAGGGGAAATCTTCCAAAAAACATATTCAAAGAGTTGTCAGTGTCGAGTATGTAGCACTAAAACATTCAAGTTGTGTAGCTGAATCCGTCGTTTCTTATTGCGATTCATTGTTTTTCCGCTTCAATTAGCGGGCCCGTTTCACATGTTTGTTTTACAATCGTATTAGCTG